CGAACTCAGGCAATGAAACACAAGCACCGTGGCACAAATACCCACAAGTGGCGCATACCCTCTGAGAGTACAAGCGGATTGCTTTGACAGCGGTCCCGTTTACTCGGTGCTCGATCGATCCCAAGGATTTCGGCCACACCTCCCTGATTAATCCAATCGTCGATTTCACCGTCAGATAGTTCTTTTGGTCAACAACCCAATTAAAGGTAGCAGAAACTGTTAAAACGCCCAAAACTTTTCTCGTTTACCGGTATCGGACAAATGCCACAGACAGAAAAATTTGACGCATTCGACGGTCTTTTGGAGGAGTTAGATATAAGACGCACTTCAGCTGTCTTCGCCCCTATTTGAAACAGCACACCCTGCATTTCAGCAAAGGGGCATACCTGCACCGAAAAGTTATTAGCATAATCCTGGTTTGCAATCTGTATCGGAGTGGTCAGTCCGTCCATGGTGAATAATCCAGTTTATTACGTAACTGAGCATAGTTTATAAAGCACACTCGCCTGACACACGTCTTAAGAGACATTAAGGAAGACGCTTGCCCCTCTACCGCGTCCACTGTTCTGAAATGATAGATTTACATCAAACTGTGTAATTCCGAGGGGGTTATAACATAATGTAAAATGATCAGCCACACAAAACCGCAAAGGACAAGATTGAAAGTAGGGAGCGAGCTCAGCCAAAATGGAGATTGGCTGTTGGTATTAGACTAACTAGTAGTAATAGTAGTGTTAGTAGTTGTATCGGGAATTTCCAAAGTTCCGCAATGCAAGAAGCTCCGATCAAAAGATCCGCCGTCAGCCTGAAAGTCACACTGTTTTCTTTTTGTCCGCTCTAACAGAATAGAAAGGATTGATTCAGGTGGAAGAGTGTAATAACTTGAGCGGAGACATTGATCAGGTTTGTGTCAGAAGGATTCGTACATACTGATTTGTAGCCTTTCTTGAAGTTAACTTTAGGGACGTCACTACTGAAGTCTATGAGTATGGTGTTCGTTTCCTAAATACTGTCTGTAAGGCAGCTTATTTGCTCGACGGTTATTGTTGAACATTACTTCCATATTTCTGCCAGAACGCAGTTCTAGCCGGGTGTTTTGTTATTTTTCGGTCTTTCGATGGATATTCGACTGCAGTTGCAGGTATGCCAGGGGTCTGTTAGTCTTCAAACCGCATGACACTTAAAAAGGACTTATCCGCTGCGTTTGGAAAACGGGCGGAATGTTTCGCTATCAGATTGCTGTGTTCAACGTACTAACTCATGAAATGTCAACCAAAATTTCGAAATGCGTTCTCGTTTTGAAATGATAAATTAAGTAGTTTTGTAAAACTAATCATGATGCAGCATAAGTCTATAATGATCCAGTTACCTGAGGGTGTCGGCTTTCGAAAAAACTTATTTTCGGCTGCATGCAAGATCTATACTCTGCAAAAAATGACTACTTAAGTAGCATGCCATTTTCTCATTGATTTTTGATGCCCATGATAATTCTATTATATTTCATGGAAAAGATGCATAAAAATATTCATTCTTTTTTTTATTCGGTAGAAAATCATGTCTTCTTCCAATTTCATACTCAAAAGAAGAGTATAATTCGGTTTTAAAAAACTTTTCTAATTCCCGAATAATTTTGAACCCGACCTGCTGTTACACTTGAATTCAGGGTTTCAAAACTACAAGCTGCATATTTTCCGTGTACGGAAAACCATGCATTTCCCTACGGTGTTAAGAGGAGACCATATGAGGTTCATAAAATTACCCAGTGGATTTGAGCAATCTTGTTAACTTTACAAGCCACATTCGTAAATGCAGATACATGACGTTTCATGAACGGCCATTTAACGGTATTAAAAAATCTCACAATTAGAAAGTTTTTTAAAACCGAATTATACTCTTCTGTTGAGTATGAAATTGGAAGAAGACGTAGTTTTCTACCGAATAAGTAAAAAAATGAATATTTTTATGCATGTTTTCCATGAAATATAATTGAATTTTCAAGGACATCGAAAATCAATGATAAAATTGCATACTACTTAAGTAGTCATTTTTCGCAGAGTATAGATCATGCATGTAGCCGAAAATAAGTTCTTTTGAAAGCGGACACCCTCAGGTAACTGGATCATTATAGATTTATGCTGCACCATGATTAGTTTTACAACACTACTTAATTTATCTTTTCGAAACGAGAACGCATTTCGAAATTTTGGTTGACATTTCATGAGTTAGCACATCTACTGTAAATGATGTCACCTTGGTCGTCGTTGATTGTTGGGACAAACGAATCAGAGGACTGGCCTGTCTTTAAAATCCAATACAGCTTACTGGTATCTTCATTAGTTGAAGCGCGTTCAAGATCTCGGAGAATTTAATTTCAGGGTCTCTTGCGACCGCGCCTCGTAGAG